TTAATGCAATTTACTAAACCAGAACCTAAGCCTGATGCACCTTCATCACCAATTTCATTGTAACTTTTTAAATATTGAAGAAAAAATATATCATTAAATAGTTAATTAGAAGGAAAAAATGAGTAAAAAATATGAAATAATAAGATTAATTAATAATAAAAGCATAAGTTGAAAATAAAATGATGAGCTAAATTAACAAAGAAAGTAAGAACAAAAAAAAGCAAATACAATAAAAAGAAAAAGAAAAAAGAGCTTTATTGTTTTTAATTAGTTTTTATAATTAAAAATATCACAATCCAAAACAAATAAACTGTTTTTACTCAAGGCAAAGTGTCAAATTTGAGAGATTAATGCAATTTGCTAAACCAGAACCTAAGCCTGATGCACCTTCATCACCAATTTAATTCTCACTTTTTAAATATTGAAGAAAAAATATATCATTAAATAGTTAATTAGAAGGAAAAAATGAGTAAAAAATATGAAATAATAAGATTAATTAATTAATAATAAAAGTATAAGTTGAAAATAAAATGATGAGTTAAATTAACAAAGAAAGAAAGAAACAAAAAAAAGCAAGCACAATAAAAAGAAAAATAAAAAACAGCTTTATTGTTTTTAATTAGTTTTTATAATTAAAAATATCACAATCCAAAACAAATAAACTCTTTTTACGAAAGATTAAGTGTCAAATTTGAGAGATTAATGCAATTTGCTAAACCAGAACCTAAGCCTGATGCACCTTCATCACCAATTTAATTAGAACTTTTTTAATATTGAAGAAAAAATATATCATTAAATAGTTAATTAGAAGGAAAAAATGAGTAAAAAATATGAAAAAATAAGATTAATTAATTAATAATAAAAGCATAAGTTGAAAATAAAATGATGAGCTAAATTAACAAAGAAAAAAAGAACAAAAAAAAGCAAGGACAATAAAAAGAAAATAGAGCTTTATTGTTTTTAATTAGTTTTTATAATTAAAAATATCACAATCCAAAACAAATAAACTGTTTTTACTCAAGGTAAAGTGTCAAATTTGAGAGATTAATGCAATTTGTTAAACCAGAACCTAAGCCTGATGCACCTTCATCACCAATTTAATTTTTACTTTTTAAATATTGAAGAAAAAATATATCATTAAATAGTTAATTAGAATGAAAAAATGAGGAAAAAATATGAAATAATAAGATTAATTAATAATAAAAGCAAAAGTTGAAAATAAAATAAAATAATTAGCTAAATTAACAAAGAAAGAAAGAAAGAAAGAAAGAACAAAAATAGCAAGCACAATATAAAGAAAAAGAAAAAAGAGCTTTATTGTTTTTAATTAGTTTTTATAATTAAAAATATCACAATCCAAAACAAATAAACTGTTTTTACGAAAGATTAAGTGTCAAATTTGAGAGATTAATGCAATTTGCTAAACCAGAACCTAAGCCTGATGCACCTTCATCACCAATTTAATTGTAACTTTTTAAATATTGAAGAAAAAATATGTCATTAAATAGTTAATTAGAATGAAAAAATGAAGAAAAAATATGAAATAATAAGATTAATTAATAATAAAAGCAAAAGTTGAAAATAAAATGATGAGCTAAATTAACAAAGAAAGAAAGAAAGAAAGAAAGAACAAAAAAAGCAAGCACAATAAATAGAAAAAGAAAAAAGAGCTTTATTGTTTTTAATTAGTTTTTATAATTAAAATATCACAATCCAAAACAAATAAACTGTTTTTACTCAAGTTAAAGTGTCAAATTTGAGAGATTAATGCAATTTGCTAAACCAGAACCTAAGCCTGATGCACCTTCATCACCAATTTAATTAGAACTTTTTAAATATTGAAGAAAAAATATATCATTAAATAGTTAATTAGAAGGAAAAAATGAAGAAAAAATATGAAATAATAAGATTAATTAATAATAAAAGCAAAATTTGAAAATAAAATAATGAGTTAAATTAACTAAGAAAGAAAGAACAAAAAAAAGCAAGCACAATAAAAAGAAAAAGAAAAAAGAGCTTTATTGTTTTTAATTAGTTTTTATAATTAAAAAAATCACAATTCAAAACAAATAAACTGTTTTTACTTAAGGTAAAGTGTCAAATTTGAGAGATTAATGCAATTTGCTAAACCAGAACCTAAGCCTGATGCACCTTTATCACCAATTTAATTCTTACTTTTTAAATATTAAATAAATAATATATAATTAAATAGTTAATTAGAAGAAAAAAATGAGGAAAAAATATGAAATAATAAGATTAATTAATAATAAAAGCATCAGTTAAATATAAAATGATGAGCTAAATTAACAAAGAAAGAAATAACAAAAAAAAGCAAGCACAATAAAAAGAAAAATAAAAAAGAGCTTTATTGTTTTTAATTAGTTTTTATAATTAAAAATATCACAATTCAAAACAAATAAACTGTTTTTACGAAAGGTAAAGTGTCAAATTTGAGAGATTAATGCAATTTGCTAAAGCAGAACCTAAGCCTGATGCACCTTCATCACCAATTTCATTGTAACTTTTTAAATATTTAAGAAAAAATATATCATTAAATAGTTAATTAGAAGGAAAAAATGAGGAAAAAATATGAAATAATAAGATTAATTAATAATAAAAGCATAAGTTGAATATAAAATGATGAGCTAAATAACAAAGAAAG